CACCTTGGTGACTCGCTGCGGGAGGATTGAACTTCCACTGTACATCTCTTTGATTCAGCTCGTTCTGTATCCGATCTTGGTTCCACGTCTTCATTGCTTTGATGACGTCTAACTCTGCTCCCTTGAAATTAGTGCCGTTATCACTGTATATGATTCTTGGGGGTCCACGTCTACCAACGAAACGTATCACTGCGTTGATAAAACTATCAGTAGATAAGTCTTGTGCCACCTCGATGTGGACTGCTCTGTACCTTAGGCACGTGAATATGCAACGGTATCGCTTGTTCAAGGCAGGATCTCTCTTGGATCTTGTATTTGGTCCAATTTTGACGTACAGCGGTCCAAAGTAGTCTAAGCCGACTGCGGCAAACGGATAGACTAGTTCTTGTCCGTCCGAAGACGATCTCACTTCAGGTAGTGGAGCTGTAATCTGTTCTCCCATCTTAGCATTCTGACGCCTGCATTCGTGGCACTTGCGTAAGACTCTTCCAACCGACGACACTCCACTTACTATCCAAAAACGTTGTCGTATCTCGGCTAATACTTGATTGGTTCCAACGTGACCATTGCGATAGTGATAATGACGTATTATCAGCTCTGTTACTGGATGTTTTCCAGGCAAGATGATGGGATGCTTCGCATCATAGGACAGATGTGAACGATCCAATCTCCCTCCTACCCGAATCACTCCGTCTTCTAAAATTGGCTTCAGGTGGATGAATCGTTCTTTAACTTCCTTGCTCAAGATTCCCACTTCACTGTCTTGAGTGTTTAAGAACGACTCCTTCTGGATGAATCTCGCGATTCTTCTCTCCGCTGCTTCAACTTCCGAAACTGACAAGGTCTCCTGACTGGGTCGCAAGCTCTTGGCGCTGTCGCGCTCAGCTTTACGCGGCCAAGCTTCAATCAACTTACGGACAGCTCTGATGAGCCATGCAACTGCTCTTCTTAGCCTGTTCCAGGTCGAGTACTTGCRAAACAGTGAGTCCCAAAAGTCCTTCTAGAGCGTCGTTGCTCCGACTGTCACTTTCTCCTTCTTAACTCCTTCATCCGTTTCTGACAATGTTGCCGATATCTCTGGTAGCTGTGGAGGCCATTCTTCTTCTTCCGTCCACAAAACCTCTGGTCCTTGTCTCCATATCTGCAGCTTTCTTGATTCTGTTGAAGCATAATCAGCTGGATTAAGCTCGGATCTTACGTGTTTCCACTGTTCTGGAACCGATTCTTGTCGAATAATGGCAACACGATTTGCGACGAAGGTGGTAAATCTTCTCACTTCGTTGAAGATGTATCTAAGAACGATAATAGAATCTGTCCA